TAGTGATTCCTCATCCCTAAGTGAAAAAGCAAGCGGACTGCAGACGGAAAGGATAAATCACTCGAGAAGTGACGACAGGTAGCATTCAGCAGCTGGCCATCTGGCCCTTATCATGCCCCAGACTGGCTGATTTTATTACTTTTCATTGCTTTCCGTAGGCCCAAGAGGGATTTCCACAAACAACCTGTCAATCTGGCCTGAGATGATCATCCTCTGCTGGTTGTTTAAGTGATTACAACGTGGATTTTAAACATCATGCCCTCATAAGATAAAGTGTCTTCCCAGGAGAACGTTGTTTAAGTCAGCAGTCAGATGGACATTGGACACAGTGTACTATTACCCTGATCGATGCCGTTTTCATTCAGTAAGACATGCATTAGTTTTAGCACAACTTCAGTTACTCGTTGTGTTGCTCAAGCTCGCGTTATCGGTCAAACATGAGCAACTAAACTGTGTTTTTAACTTAGATTGCATATGAAGATAGGTAAATCCTCTGACGTCTCACGGAGATTACCTGAACAGTGGTTTTAAAGCTCAGTGTGGTCTCCATTGCCATCTTGACAGTACCTACTGAGTAAATAACCTCCCCTGGAAACGCATCGGAGACAACACAGAGAATGCCACATCACTTTAAATGATCACACAAAAATGAGCTGCATTCAAGCTCTTACCGAATGAGTTCAGACGATGCGTATTAGGCCTTTCAGCCAGGTCAGTCCTTCTATATTTTTCAGAACACCGGAGTTTTTAAATCACTAAGTTGTGGTCCACACAACTAGAAGTCTTTGTGTTCAGATGTCAATGAAAGAAAGCACTCTAGCTCTAAGCATTGTTTAGGGCTATTTTGTGATTTTGTGGACTGTCACCACTGTTGAACCTTGTTGTTGTCAGGAAAGACCTTTTTTTTTTTTTTTTTACTACAGAACTATCTGTCCAGTTTGTTTAGCTTGCACATCTGTTGAAGGCTCCAGATGTTTTGGATGCACCTGGCAGGCCCCTTTTCTCTCCCCACCTCCATCACTCTCCTTTGTCCAGATGACGGAGAAACCCTTAAGGGGCTGCTGTAGGAGGTGTAAGAGGAATAAAAATGTAGCTTTTAAATTCATGATGCTGACAATTGTCAAACCATAACAGATTGGACTAAGCCTCCTGTGTTAAGCCACATCACGATAGACTCAACAATTTAGCTGATAAGGCCAATCATAAGAACACTACATCAGTGTTGACGTTGTTTTCTAATTTCTTTACATCCCAGATAAGAACGATTGTCTGTTCTGATCCTTATAGCTTTACCACAGCCTCCAGATTTAGGTTTGTCTCCATTGATACATTCCAGATTCCCTGAAAGGTCCTTAGAGGTAACTCCTCTTTAATGGCAGCTGTCATCTATCAGGTGTCTTGACCTGCATTTATGAGAGCAGTTGCACATGAAGTGTCATGTTAGGGACATGGAAAGAAAGGAAGGACCTGCGATAATGTTCCTTCTTGCATTGTGGATGTAGCAGCCTGTTGCTGAAAGAGCTGCTTGAGGTCGTCACAGTCTCATGCAGGAGGTGTGAGGTGTCGTCCATGATGGATGTCAGCTTGGCGAACATCCTTCTCAATGGAGTCCAGAGGGCTGTCCTTCTGTTTTTATTTATTTACTAAGTTGCCACCTTCAACACCATCTATGATTGCTTGGACAGTTTGTAAACTATAAGGATACATCCTCTGGACTTTGGGATATATCCAAATACATTTATTCCTTGATTTATCTTCTAGCACCAGCATGAGAATTGCATGGATTGCAGTTGAATTTGGTTGCGGATATTCATGCTCGCCAGAGGATGAATTGTACTTTAATGACGGTCCAGTCATCTTCAGCTGTACTTTGTGTATATCGAGCACAGTATACATTAAAAGGCCACACTGAATGATTTTGTTAAAACATAAAGTTTTGCACACAAACTAAAAAAAAATAAAATATTCGAGGACCATAGCCGGCTTTATCTTTGGATGCTTAAAGTATGCTTTTGTGGTCATATATCTACATTTTTACTCAAATATGATTCTGAATGCATGAAACATTGGCTTTTATTAGAGTATTCTTAAGTATGAGGTATTCCTGAGTTCTTCCTCCACCACTGCTAAACATGAATTCAGTTCAGTTTCAGTTCAATACACCTTCATTCATACAGTGGGAAATTCACAACATAAATCACGTCAGGGCACTTCACATAGTATGTTCAGGGTCACCCAGGCCAACGATCACTTTTGATAAGGTTTAATCGAAAAGGAAAGTTTTAAGGTTAATCTTAAAAGCAGAGAGGGTCTGACAGCCGAAGCCTCTTCTTCCCGTTTTGCTTTTGGAAACTTGTGAACCTGTGCTCTGAACGTGAAGTGATCTGTTGAGACAGCATGGTACAGTAAGATCTCTAAGATAAGATGGAGCTTGGCCATTGAAGCTTTCTATGTGAGGAAAATGATCTTAAATTCTATTCTGGATTTTACAGGGAGCCAATAAAGACAAGCTAATATGTGGGAAATTCCTCTTGGGGAGCATGGTGGAGCAGTGGTTGGCACCCAGCTCAAAGGTCCTGGGTTTGAACTCGGCCTGGAGTCTTTCTGGGTGGAGTTTGCATGTGTCTGAGTGGGTTCTCACAGTTTACTTTGGTTAGCTGGTAGTGTGATGGATGGGGGACCTGTCCAGGGGGAACCCTGCCTTCACCCTGAGACTCCGGCTCCCCTGCGACTCTAAAGAGGACGAAGTGGTGTATCGATAAAGGATGGATGATCCCTCCTATCAGAATTCTGGCTGCAGCGTTTTAATCAAGTTTTCAATTAGATAAGGTGTTGCAGTAGTCCAGCCTCGCATGGTGGCGTTATGGTGGTGACCGTTTAACTTCAAACCCTGCTGTGCTCATGTACAGCCTCACAGAGCTGACAGGGCGGATGTTGACTCAATGTGGTCGTAATATGTTTGGAGTTGTAATGGTAACACGCTACACTAAGATGGTGACAATAGTGAACGTGATACTGCAACTCGATTATAGGTGACCAACAGCTACGTGTCAATAACTCAGCAGCAGTGTGTCTTTATAGAAACAATGTCCTGGCTACTCTGGATAACTATTGATCAAGACTTTTGGTCCCAGTGTAAGATGTTCCCAGTGAGGTTTGCATTTTAGTTGTTTTTCTGACAAAATAATCTTGTTATGCGTTGAGCACCACAAATCTCATATATTGCCAATATAAAGCCAAAACGACAACCAGACTCCACTTAGAGTAACAGGGGAAATAAAGCCTCTGAGGGCTCAATCACTTCAAGTGTCCAAAAATCTGAATTTATTTTCTTCTTCTTATCAAACATTGATAACATTGTGAAGCAGTTATGTAATGCATCATTACTGACTATTTGTTAATGAGTACCTAATGAGGAATACATGTTCTATTCCATTTCTATTAACTTTACACAACAGGAATCCTGTCCAATAACGGGGTCTCCAGCTGCCTTGGACCACTCCGTTACCCCCTAACATCCTTCTTCCCGTTCTCTCACTCTCACTTCCTCACCTGTCAGAGGTGGAATGTCGCTGGCAGATACAGTCCTCCAGGGTCTGATCTCTTGACAGATGTAACGACGCTCAGTCAAAATGTTTCCCAGCTCCTCTTCGGATACAACAGACAGCAGCAGCAGTTACTGCAGGACAGAACTGAATGAAAAGATGCAGCGAGGCAGGCGAAACATTAGTGAGTGAGAACAGCTCATTCGGGTGCAGGCTTTCTGATGTTCGACTTTCTGTTTTATCTAAAGAGGCAGAAATGCCTCAAACCAAATCTTAAATGCCAATAAGACACAACTGTAAATCTGAAATGTTGGTTCTAGAAAACTATGTAAGCAAGTTAACTGACATTTATTTATGCAATTTAAGTGCAATGATGTTTTCTAAATTGTTAAATTGCTCTTTTGAAAGCATTTATCATTAGTAATACTGTGAAAGTCAAGAGCTCAAAGCTGTTGTAGACTATTAGACTTGTAAGAAGTTCATGTTCATGTCAAGCTGCAGATGGAAGCAACACAGCTGTAGAAGCACGTGTTGATGTTAAATGGTACAGATATGAACTGTGTCCTTTACTGTTCTGTTCTTCGGTAATGAATCAGGCTCGTATTGAGTTTAACCATCATGTTCCCCTCAAGCGTTCCTTAATTTGCAGATCTTTCTTTCTTCTCAGTCACAGAGAAGTTTGAATCTATAATCCTTCTCATAGGGAGAAGAAGTTCTGTGGATCCACTCTGCCCAGGGTCTGCTCCGCACTGTGGCCGATCTTCGTGGCAGTTTTCCAGTTCTCAGCAGGAAAGGAAGTGGCTCTCACGGGCAGTGCTCAATTCGCCCTCTACTGGGCGGAAGTCAGGCCTCAATGAGGCCGTCAGAGGAATAGGTCATGCTGTCAGAGCGCACCAGAGTTCACATCCTCTCATTAGACTGCAATACTTTCAACATCCCTTCACAGGAAAAAAAAAGCAAAGTCAGGGAAATTGGGCTGACTTACGCTTGTGATAAAACAGACTTATGGTGATGTGATTGTGCAGGTGTAGTCAGGTAGAGCGAGCGAGTGTGTTGGCCTTCGTTTTCTGCACACACACCCACACGCACACACACACTCACACGTTGCCTGTGTAACTTATCGGTTTACACCATGTGTTGAAGACATAAAGATTCTCAGCTGCTGAAGAGTGAAAAGGGGCTGCGATGTTAAAGTTCAGGTCGTTGTGTTGTGATACTGAAACGTCAGGTTTGGATATGGTCTGTGAGTCAGCAGAAGCTTTCTCCGGAAACACACGCACGTCTAGTTTTAGGCTTTCTCGTTCCCAGCGTCATGTGATTTACATGATTTTGAATTCCAGCTAAATGCATCTATAATGCTCCAGCGTGAACCTAAAGTATGGATTTACTAAAAAAAAAGATCTTCTTGTGAGGTGCAATTCATTCAACAAGCTACTCAAAGAAACAGAACCCAAGAAACAAGCTAGAAACTTTATTTGTTAAAACAAGTATATAGAGTTGCTGTATTACATCTTTTATCTTGCTAGATTGTGGTTATATACATTTACCAACAGTGGTTTAGAAAGGCAACTCCTAATGGAAACAATGGCATATGTATACAATACAAATTAGCAAACATATCAAAATCAGTTTTTACAACTTTTGTAGCAACCAATTCTTTCTATTGGTGTGCCATAGTGCAAACTGTGTTGTTTGTAAGACAGAGTTAAAGCACGATGTCAACATTCATACATCTCGACAATTCCTTTTCTGTCTTAAACACATTTTCATTTGTAGGCTGCATTCACTGTGCCTTCAGTTCAAGTCCTTCTGTCCAGTAATGTGAATTTACAATCAGAATAATTCAAGTGTATCGGGCAGGTCAGGCTGTTTCGAAGGATAGTGATGATTACGACCGAGCAAGGACGCCCGTCAGTCGCTTCTGTTGCTGCGTTGTATGTATGGCAGAGTACATGAAGATCTGTCAAGACCTGTCGTGCTACTTCACCCTGGTGGAACATTTTTTTGCGTATCTCAGGAGTGCTTGATCACTTAGGATGTTATTCCCAAGTGTTTTACATTGTTAATGCAAAACAACATCATCAAAACTGAAATGTTGCAGTTGTGAATGGGCAGTGAAGTATTAGGGATGACTAATTGTTTTTATCATACTGTCAAATTTCAGCGTTTTTATTGACTCCTATAAACATTCATGTTCTAAAAATGTGTTCTACCAGTGTGAAATATCACTCTAAAGAGTCTCCAGCTGTGTTTTTTTTTCCCCCAAAGCCCTTTCAAAAAGTCCTTGAGGATTCCTGGTTTCACTCTGAAAACATAACTCAAAAATGATTATCACAAACACAGAGCTTTGCAAAAAAAAAAAAAGTGTAATAGCTTGTATGTTGGCTACGAGTGGAGTGTAGTGGAGTAGATGGTGTACGAGTATAATCAGGCGGCACGTTTGTATAAATGGACAGAGCACTGAGAGGAAAAAAAAGAAGATGTTTTCGGATAATTTTGATTGTTTCTGTCTACATTCACTCAAAGGTCCAGCATGTGTGTATGTGTGTGTGTGTGTGTGTGTGTGTGTTTTCGTGTGTGTGTGTGCACATAGTTGTGTTCCTGCATCTGTCTGGCTTCAAGCCTCTATGGCTAAGATTTTACTGGAGGAAAGAAAAGTGAGAGCTATGCCGATAGTGAAAGCGCTGCCCTGTGTGGAGGTCAGGCTGCTTGTGGCCTCTACTCTGGTTCTATTGCACCGTGTTCTGCAGGAAAGCACTGGAACTGGTGGATTGGTTGTGTCAAATAGTCTGAAGTTGGGGGCCGGACTGAGCCTCAGCCCCTCCATCCTTCTCTCTCTCTCTCTCTCTCTCTCTCTCTCTCTCTCTCTCTCTCTCTCTCACTCTCTCTCTCTCTTGTCAGGGCCACCGTTTCCAACTCAAGAGCATCCACAGCGATCCACCACCATGGACGGGATCTTGCCGTAGATGATTTGCTCTTTGCGGTTAAAGTAGAGCATGTTGATGGGTGACATCTTGGTGGGGGTACAGCAGGGACCTGCAGTCCCTCTGGGGTTGGCCTTGTTCACCAGGTGGGTGTGCGGGTACTTCTGCAGGTGCATGTACTCACACTCCCCGGAGCAATAGTTGGCCTTGTAGCGCTTTGGGGCAATAATCCAGTCCCAGCCAAAGTCTTCAAAGTCCACTGTGAGTGGATAGCGGCAGCACCGGGACTCTGGAGAGTTCTCGTCGCAGTCCAGGCCTGAGTCTCTCCTGGCACGTTTGGGGCCCTCTGAGATCTTCACCTCCATGAACGGTTGCTGAAATGACAGAGCATTTTTGAACGCTTTGAAAAGAGCTGGTTTTCAAAAGGAGCTGGATGGCAGCAGTCAGCTTTTCACTTTTTAATCCGGTGCCCTTGGGCCGCCAGTTTTCAAACATAGCACGATAATATTATGAAACTTTGAGTTACAGAGAAATTGAATCATCTGACGGTTGGTTACCCTCAGCTGTCAAGGTGTTCTAATTGCCCCAGAGCCTGGTGCCAGCAGTTGGGCTTTGTAATGTGTGTTTGTTATTGATAGTAGCAGTGTGTGTGTGTGCAGGCAATTACTCTGATTTGCACAGTCACACTGAATACTTTAAGGAATGTGGAGCAGGTGAACTTTTATGTAATCAAGCAATAAGATTTGAAGTTATTGTGGACTGGGCATGCGTCCAAATGCAGGTGTGCGCCTACATGGAGTCTGTGTTGATTAACAGCTTTCAGAAGTCTTTTATATCTTGAGTCCTTCTTCCAGCAGTGAAATGCAGGAATGTTTAACCACCTGCTGATTCTGCAAAGCCTCTCTGCACACTAAACCAATGGAAGTCCAGAATTAGAATCTAACCCTTTGTACAGTACAACAGAGAGTTCTGCACAGTTTTGCTCAGCTGGAAGCGGGTCTTTGGAAGTTATTGTGGTGCCATAAAGAGCTGGCTGATCGTACATAAATGCACCGATTGCGGCTGCAGTGCCAAATACTGAACCAACCCAACAGCTCTGCACGCCAAAAACATGGAATCATGCGCGTCAACTGTTCAAACTATCTGCTAATGTATAAAGCAAAAAATGTAAAATAAAAGCTCACCAGTCCTTCCTCTCCTGGCTCTGCGGAGGTCACGGCTAAGTCATTTCCCCTTGAATCGAAGGCGTTAATCTCGATGCCCCAGTTGGTCTCCGGCTGCCGCAGCCACACGCTCAACACTTGTTTGACGTCTATACTTTGCCAAGAGCCGACCCCGGCGTTAACGTCGATCTTCAGGGAGCGGATTCGTATGTGCCTGTTCCCATCTGTGACCGGCATCAGGCGGGAGATTTGCAAGAACACGGTGGTCGCCTCGCCCGCCGGGCGCAGATGCACCCAGAGCTGCGCCCGGACGATGCGATTGGCTTGAAACTTTTGAGTAAGAGAGAAAAAGCAGCATTTTGGTTCTTCGTTCACCTGAACGATGGACTCGGCTGCAGAGAGATGGGAAGAGAAAGTGTTAATATGTCCAGTAAGCATGCAGGATTGATATTTACAGAAAGAAATAAACGTGAAGTGTGCGTAATGACCAAAATGCATTTAAATTTTGCTATTATTTGTAAATTCATATTTCCAATATGAAAATATTGGGGGAAAAAATTAAATCAAGCTACGGGATGTCAAAATAAAGCCCCTGATATCGTCTCCTGTGCGCCCTGCACCGTGCGTCAAAGTCGAATTTGGAGACGTCTGAGCGCGTACTTATAGTCTTGCAAAAAAAAAAAAGAAAGAAAAAAAAAGAAAAGAAAATAAGCACTCACGTTCAGTGGCCATCATCATTATTGTCTCCGTGGTAGCGTGCTCATCGTCCTCCTCCATAACCACATCCTTGTTGTCATCGCCCAGCACGTCGTACTGGTCGAGTAGCTGCTGCAGCGGCGGCGCTTTGGGCAGGAGCTGCTTCACTATGTCTCTGCTGATATTGGGAGCCTCCTTCATTCGCAGTTTGCTCAGAATTTGAGATTTGATCGCGTTTAATCGCATGGTTTTAATCTGCTGCCGGACCTCGCAGGTAGCGCACTGCTCCGTGTCTCCAGGGCTGGTGGCGGAGGGCTGCTGGTGCGTCTCTTGGTCACTCAGAACAACTGGACCCAAAGCAATCAGCAAGCAAACATACAGCACAATATGAGACAGATGCATTGTCTCTAAGGTGTGTAGGTTGTTTTTTCAACAACAACAACAACAAAAAAGATCCCTTGCTGTGTGCTGGACTTGATGCGCGCCTGAACTGGGGCTGGATTAATGTCCCACACTGATAGGCATCATACTTTATTAGCGCGCACCTTTTTATACTCCAACTTTAGCCTCTTTTGTGTCGTCAAAAACTATGATTGGCTGGACAGGCAACAATGAATTTTAACCGACTGACATGAAAACTTTTTTTCGCTGTCAAACCATAAAGGGATGGAGACTGTGGGCATGTGCTGAGCGCGTCCACAGAGGAATAAAGTCACTTCTTGTGGTGATTGTGCAATCGGCACAGGGGGGGTGACCGGCCAGTGATTCATATCACCCCAGTTTACCAAACAACAAATGATCTGATGCATCTTTGAAGTAAAACAAGATGATAAATTCTCACTCATTTCTTTTCTTTCGTTGTTCATATAATAATAATAATAATAATAATAATAATAATAATAATAATAATAATAATAATAATAATAATAATAAATAACAGGCCCATCGTATATCTTTGCCTGCGGTCCCCCTGGCACTGAGGGGAGTGCTGTAAAGTGTGTGGATGCAGCTGTTTCTGCCTTGATATGGGAATAAATTTGAGGAAAAACAGGGATGGAATCTTCTCTAATGTTACTCAGATCATGTATGTAGTTGGCTAAAAACAAGTTTCCTTGCGATGAACTGATTATCGGCTGAAGTACATTTTAAAAAGTGGATTGTTTCCAAAGTGAGATTTTATTTTATTTTTTTAGGTGAGAGACATAGAAAGTCCGAAGTCCAAGACTTGTTTGAATCATTGCTGATAAAACCTGCTTTGCGCACATGAGAGGATGGTGCCATCGTGTGGCAAGTTATTAACAAACACATCAGAAACACCATCAGCTCTGGTTCATGTAAAAAATAAAAATAAAAAAAAAAAGAAGAAGAACATGATTGTCATTTCAATGCTGTCATTTCTACAGTAAACTACCTTATGTGTGAATGTTATAAAACTGGAGGATATTTGTAAAGGAACGTGCATCCAGCTGAATTTTACATAAGCTACCTATCTAGGTCTGCTATCAGTGTTGTCTAATGCATGTACCTTAGTTGTACTATTATTTCACAAAACATATGTCTAAAAAGTCCAGTGCAATATCTTGATACTCTAAAAAATGTCAACATTTATTTAAAAACAAAACTCACCCAGTTCTGTAGGCCTCCGTTAGCTACTGATATCAGCTCCATGTGTTTGTGCACTTTTCCAGTTCCTGAATTATTACCAAAACTGCTCAGATATGAATGTATTTCCTTTGTAAAATCCTTATTATCAAAACAAAGTGCACTCCTATTAGTTGCGCTGAAGATATTCCCACACCGAAAAGAATTAGAAATCATAAAAATGCTCAAATAGAGCAATTAAGTCAACCTTGGGCTTCATTTCTAGTTTTAAGATGAGACACACTTTAACTAACTAAAAAGAACTTATCTGATAACTTCTGATTCACACCAAAGCTGGACTCAGCCAGAAGGTGGGAATCTTCTTTGTTGTATTGTGCTGATTGTTTCATTTTCTTCCTCCAATCATGAAGGCAAAGGGCACAACTTTAATTTCCCAGTAATTAGGATACTTTAAATGGCATCTGTGTATAAGTACCTTCACTACTTCACTGCATTCTTCTGCTGTACAAAATGTACAAACACAACAAAAAGTAAGTCATAATATTGTCTGTTTTTTTCTATTTATGACAGATAGATAGATAGATAGATA